GTGATAGAGCAAAATAATATTGCATCTTACGACATCCAGAACCGACCCAGAGACTCGGTGAAAATGTAAGATAACAATATTATTCACCGACACTAGACTAGCGATAACCCTTGCCTTCTTAGGTTGCTGACGACCCTAGTTCGATAGTGTGATCGACTCGTAGATAATTAAACTCATAAAATACAACGATAAGAACAAATACATTACTTATAAAATATTTTGACTACTAAAATAGATGTCCATTTTGCTTATATGTATGACAAAATATAAACTTTAAATAATACAATCCGATTGTCCACTTGTCAATTATTTGTACTGGCTAAGGATTACCCTCCTAAGATGGTCTTGTTGGACATTTTTAGTTGAATGTCGGGCTTTATACAGTTGGATGACCGGATGACTACGAAATCTTTCGGGAATGCTAAAATCTGAGCCAACCCGAACCTGAATTCTTATAGTCCACTTTGGCTTTTTATTGTTCACTTGTTATTTTCTTCGATATTTCTCCGTGTTTTCTTTTAGTTTTCTTCGAGCTTATTTTGTGAGTCACTTGTAGTTTTCTTCGAGTTTTACGTGAGATGCTTTGTCGTTGGACTTTTATACACATATATATGCATGTTTGCCCTACTAGTTAAATTTTCTATTATACTTGTTTGCTTCCACCTGCAACGCTAATCCCATTTGCAGGAGCAGCAGACCCGCCGGGTGCATATGTTTATTTTATATTTATAGCATTTTACTTTCTCTACTGCACATTCCACCATTATTCTTTACTGTACATTTTACTGTTTTTTCTTTACTGTTGTTTTCCTTACCGCACTATTTACTGCTTTCATTTATTGCACTTCCTACTGATTTTTTTATTTATGCTTATTATACCTTTTATAATAGGAGGACAATTGTCTGGTTTTATAGGAGGCACATAGCGGCATACCACCGACCAAACAATTGCATGTACACTTAAACCTAACCCTAAACCTACAATCGCTACAACAAGAAGTTTGGAGCTTGAAACAAGTTTTCGTGGGCAGCACGATGAAGTAGCAGAACATGTCTACATCAACAAAATCTTTATCTAACTTAATTAACAATCTATAGGATTTCGAGATAGTCGTCTAGCATGACATAAATTCTCACTTTTTCTTTAGGCTTCTGCACAATCGTCTTTTGCAGCATAAGTCATAACTCACTTTAGGTTCCGAGGTTGTCATGCGGTATGGTGTAAATCCTCCTATTTTCTTAGGTTATTCACACGATCTGGCGTCGTGCGAATGTAAGCCCTAAATAATAAAACTGGCAGGATGAAACATCAAATAACATCTTCTCAAAATTAAAGCCAAACAAATAGGATAGTTGGAAAGTCATTTGAGATCCTCCTCAAAGTCTGTGATATCCCCTACTTTGTTTCTTTGGACTAAAAAATAAACTGTTCCTATTTTGAGACGTTCCCTTTTGACTTTCCTGTGTCAATCTTTTAAAACTTAAACTTTGAAATTCTTGAAAGCAAAACCACTGATCTTAATTAAGAGTATTCTTAGGTGACTTCGGTCATTTAAGATGTAATTAACCATAGGGGTTTGCTTCTATAGGAAACTTAAGAACCTAGCTTAATATGAACTCTATTAATCTTCCATATTAAATAGGGGAATATGTCGGCTTATAAAAAAATGTTTTCGCAGACTAAACAGATGTCATAAATACTTTAGTTTATTTAATTGAGCGTCAGTAACAAGAGTAGTATCTATTCCTCGGGATAGATACATCATTTGCGGTGTTATGCTCGATCATTTAAACTATTGAATATATGAGATCAGTTTGGTTTCGTATTTTTAAAAAAATTAAAACATTACTTTTCAAAATTAAAATATATTTTTCTATATATATATATATATGTGTGTGTGTATTAAATTAAATTTAAAATACTTCCAAAAATATAAAAATTATGGCCGACATGGCTTAAATGCCCTAAGATTATTTTTCTTTCGTCAAAGTAAAATGAATACTTCTTAATGCTTTAGATCACATGTGATGATGATGCAGACTGAAATGAGGGCGCACAAGACTATTAGAATGCCACTAAACTGGAATTAGAAATTCTTGTGAGTTCATATTTTTCGCTCAAAATGCAGGAACCATGATAATTTGCAAATTGCTATCATTTCTTTTTTTTTGAACTTAGTTCACTTGATGTGGTTGGAAGTTAGGGATATGGGGGATACTTTTGAGTGTGTGGATACTTTTGTTTGAGGTCATGTTTGCAAGGAAGCACTAGGCCAAGTAGTTAGCTTATGACCAACCTTAGAGCGCATTTTATGAGTTCGTATACATGCTTTCTGATGAATGAGGATTCCAGCTTGAAACCAATTTAGATATCAGTGTAACGTGTTTAGACATTATATGCAGTGTTGGTGGAATTCTAAGTGTGTTAGAAACCAAAGGATGTGGAAAAGCCAAGACTTGGTCAATATGATCTAGTTGAGATAGACGAGACTAGTATTACAAATTTGTTAGTGGATGTGCTTAAGGGTGTATATAGGTGGTCTGGAAAGGCTATGGAACGTTAGGAGAACGAACATACCTCAAAGCTAAAGCAAATGGTGAAAATTCAGTCTCTTAGGGTTGATGGATGTGAGATGACGAAAATTAAGTTATGATAACCTTAACTGTGCCCAATACTTTCAAGAGATGTCTTAAGATTTTCATATGGTTGTAGGTTATGGAGAAATTCTTTGGGATGTTGTTAGGATGGTGGGACAATATGATTGAGATAGAGATCAACAAGTAAAGGAAGGATACCTAGATTTTTTACCAAGATGAATCCAAAGAGAATCTGGTAGGCCACCAAGCTCTCAACTTTAGCTATTTTACTTCCATCTATTGTCAAAACATTAAAACCTCTTTTTGTTCATTTCCATTAATATTTGTACTTTTTAAAAAACTGAGAAATCAAATATAGAGAACAAATTCAAATGTGAAGTAGAACCACTCTTGCTCTATTTCAAGATTCTCCCCTGACTTGGGGTAGCTTGCCCTATTACTTTGTGATCTAGCCTAATATTAATTAAAAGAATGAAAAAATAATTCCCAGAGTCTCATCTGAAAATAATAAATTAAATGTTTACTAAAGCTTTGGATTCCAAGTTTTAATTTCCATTCTATGTTCTTTTAGTTTAATATCAAAGCTTTTTATGCTGTTTATTGATGACAATATTTTAGCTTTTAATTTTGTATCGAGCATTTGATCTTGATCTTGATCTTACCATGGAGCCTTGAAAATTAAATTGATGTTATTAATCTTGTATGCTAAATTGTGTACAAGTTAATATTATGACTAAGTTTTCAAATTTCAAATATTCATCATGACTTGCTCTCAGCTTTGCTTCCATGGATAGAAAACTTATTTTAGGATATTTGTTTCATTAGTATGTGTGGAACTCCATTTTTTTAAGCTAAAAAGAAGTTTTTTTAGAATGCTTGCTTGGATAGCTTCTTATAAAAAAACATTTTTAATGAAGTTGGGCTTTTTATCTAATAAATAATTTAATAACTTAATTAATTGTAAAATTAAACTCAAAAATAGCTTTTCAACTATTTTTATTTGGCCAATTTAGTGTAGAATTTTAAATTTGTCCATTTTAGCCTATTTATTATACAACATTGATCCAAAATGGTTCCTCAGAGGCTAAATTTTGGTCTAATTTTGTATAGTTGGGATCTAAATGTAGATCATTTTTTATTAAAATTTCTACATGAGAAATCATTTTGGATAAATTTTATATAATTGTGGGACTAAATTGTAGTGAATTAAATGAAAATATGACACTAACTAGGATGCAAGGAAGAAAAATGATTCATATAGCCGACCCCACTTAGTGGAATAAAGGTTTTGTCATTATTGTTGTTGAGGGACTAAATTGTAGAAATGAGATGTTTATAGATTAAATTGGACACGCACGAATGGTGTGGTTCTATTTTAGTACTTAATCTATTATTTATATGTTAATTAGGGTATGAATGTTATATAATGATTATATTAAATTTATAATAATGTTGATGAATGATATTTCTTTATAATTCCATGCAATATCATGTCTGCCTATTTATTTTGCAATTCTTGTGAGTACATTTATTACAAAGACATTTTAAGTTTAACTTCCTTGGAAGAGGGATTTTAGTGGGGGTTTTTTAGCAAGCTTACGCAGGATCTTTCTTGTTTTCTTGTGAGATATTCTAATCAAAATTTTTTGTTATTTTTAATTTGAAAAATTTAGGTGTAAAATTATCATAGCTATTAAGTCTTGGGCTTGTAGGAAAAAAAAATCATAATATTTTTTTATCCTGAATTTATCTTTAGTTGGATTTGCTATTCTTTATGCTTTCAAGAGTCAAATCCTTGATCAAGTGGGAGGCTTGAAAGTTTCTGGGAGAGCGTATTAACTTAAACAAATGAATGATTTGATTCTTTTTTTTCTCTTTTAATTTGTTTCTTTCATCCTTTGTTTTTTTGCTGCTTTAATTTTTGTTTTTAGAAGATTGCATGATTGGTTTTATTTAAAATCTGATACAACTTGAGTTTTAATGAGCACGTAGATTTTAACCGGTTGCATATTGGTTATTTATTTTTCTCATCGATTAACTCATGCCGTCCCCACAATTATTTTCTTACCAAGCAATCATACTCTCACTACAGACATGTTTGAAATGATTTTCAATAATCATCTGCTTTTAAGTTTACATCATGACATGTCTGACCACTGGAAAATTGGTTAATGGAGCCTTATATAAATGCCTCAAATTTTTATGATTATTCTATGGTTGTGCAATACTAGAAATTGCAAAAGGACCTTCATTTCTATGCCTGTGGTGCCTTTTATAAATATTTGAAATTCCAGAAATTACCCAGATGCATTTGCTTCTGAGAAATTTCATTACATGGCTTGTTATCTGGGACTTTAATTTTAGATTATTTTTCTTTAATTTGAAACGTTTCTTTATTTCAGTGGGAAAGCTATGAGACTTTTTGACTCTTCCCCAATTACCAAACGTCACGATGCTTACACTCTTGAGACCTCAGATGGGATCACCATAAGGATTGAGGGATTTATTAACAAAAAACGCACTCTGGATAACGGGTTTCCTCTTGAGGTTTGTTTGGACTTTATTTTTCATCGACGGGTAATTATATTTGTAAGAAAATGAATGAAAAACTTTTTGTATTATGGGATCAATATGGTTTTGTTGTCTTTTCTATTTTCACACTGAAGATTGGAGTTCTTATATTAGGCTGTCAAATGGGGTTCACGGATTGGATTGGGGTTTGACCTGAAATTGCTTGACCCCAACCCAAATATTAAATATCTAAAAAATTCGAACTTAAACAGGATCCGCCCTCAACTCACTGACTTGAGCACGACCTGTATAACCTATTTAACATAAGGAATAACAACTATTCGGGTCAAAATTGGGTTCAATTAGAGTTAATTCCGTGTTAATTTCAGGTTGACGAGTTAGTTTCGGGTTGGCTAGTCACCCGGACCCCGAACCCAAATCTTTTGAGTCGAGTTGGAGTGTTATGTCAATTTCTTACACTACTTATATGTATCTCTTAGCAAACAACCAACTTCTACAGGCTTGCAAAACATTCTTGATTGGTTTCCCTACTACTTGGACCGATTTCGCCAATGGCTCCTCTTGCGAGAAATTGTCACATGCTGATATTCCTGTGAGTGCTTCCATGGGTGCTGAGTGGTCCAAGGATCTTCTTGGACTTCCAGTTAAATCGGAGAACACAATTCTTAACAATGATCCTTCTACTTCGCTTCGTGATTCCGACACAGGATTCCTGAATGCTATACGCAGATTCACTGCCTGGTTATCAATTTATAATAATATTCTACTGCAAGATAATGAAAGTTGTGGAGCTAATATGAGAGATGTTCATACTGAAGGAGCAGGCTGCCTTAAAGATGATTTACATGTTGGTGCACCGGCACAAGAGGAATCTCTCAATCATGAGAAACGGGATGTTATTAAAGATGCAGCATCAACCATTTGTAAGAAATACAATGGAAATGCAAAAGTAAGACCAGGTTTGCCAAAAGTAGAAAATTTTCAAGTAGAAGAGCAGAATAATGCCAAGTTCAGAGCTAAACCTGTTAGAAGAAGTCCTAGATTGAAGTCATTAAACTCTAAAAATGCTTGTGGAGAATTTCAAGATAATTCTATGTTCTTTAGCGGGACCAATGATGTAAACTGTGCTAACTTGGTACCTGAAGGATCTAAAACTTGCACTATAAGTCATCCTACTGACACTTTAGCAGAAGGATGCTCCTCATCTCCAATTATATGTGTAGAAGCTCAGAAGCTTGTCAAATCTTTAGCCAAACCTGTTAGAAAAAGTGAGACTAATAACACAAATAATGCTAACTTGTCAACTGACGGACCTGAAACTCATGCAGTAAGCTCAGAAAGCCCCTTATCTCAAACATCTAGTAGCATTCTCTTGCCATCAGTCAGGCTGTTTTCAGAAGAAAATCAAGATGGCCATCAACATTCTATTAACATGGGTTTAGGGATTACTCAAACCTCTAACTCTACTTCCAAATATGGCTTCTGTGATGATTCTGCCTCAACGGCCTGTTTGGGGCAAAATTTAAATGATAAAAAAAATTTATTCTCTGATGGTTTAGCAGGATTAGTTGAAGTAACTCCTGCAAATTCTAAAGTTATAATAACTTCACAAACTACGGAAAAAAGGATTTTGAGGTGTAGTAGGACAAAGAATGATGATCAAACTACCAGGAGCAGAATGAAGGTCGAGCAGAATGGGTCTAGAAATCAGTCATCTTGTACTAGTTTTAAAGAAAAGGTGTTGTTCTCTTTTGCTTCTTATTCAAGAAGAAAATCGATTCATCTAGTCTCTATATCCGATTAATCTTTGACTATGAGAACAAACTCTGAAATTACAAGTTAGTCTACTTTACTATTTGATAGTTCTCCCCTTCTCTTGCTCCCAAGCTGGATCTTCTAATCTATTGAGTCTGTTAATTTATTTAATACTGTAGATGACATCACTAATGTGGACCTTCGTTTTCTTTTGCATGTGATGTTTTGACAGGCAAAAAATGTTGAAGTTTCAACAGTGACTGAACAAGCTGCAGATAAAGCATCGCATAATATGAGATTCAGAACAGTTTGGGTATCAAGCTATAAAGATGTAGGTCATAGATATGAACTCCCAACTTTGCTAATGGATTATATATATTCTATCATTTTTTTTCCTTTTAGAATATTAATTATTTGTTTACCTTTTGATTTATTGCATTTCACTGGTGAATTTGTAATATTTCACGTACAAGTTGAATTAATAGTTCCATGTCAGTGTTATTATAAATAATTCTTGGAGGCCGCCTGATATTTCATATTCTTAATCCATTTGTAATCATTTGTCTTTATTTAACTGACTTGGATATGACTTTTGGAAGTTACATCTCCCTTGCAGCCAATATGCTACTGGTAATGGCCTATAAGTGCTTTTGATTGTATTTAGTCGGCTTAATATTTGTTTTTCTCCAAACTTAGTAATAGTGGCAGCAGATCTCATCTTTTATTTGCTTTCTTAATTTTCAAATTTATATAAATGCCTTCGGCTGTTCATTTTTTGTTCTCATTTGAGTTACTTCTTACTCCCTTTATCAAGTTAGAGGTTACCTCTTGTTAATTTACGAAGTTCGTTTAAGCTCATTAAAATTTTTTAGTCATTAGAATTTCTTACTCTCTCCGTAGCAGTGCTGGATGCTTATTTTATTTTTATTTTATTTTAAGTAATTTCATGTTTTCTTATGAAGCTGTTCATTACTGGCATTCTGTTTAATGGCAGTTCGGTAATCATTTGATAATATGATTAATTATTATTCGATGCTATTTTCTCTTCCTTTATTCTACATGCTTGTTTGTTGTTAATTACAGTGGCACTCTCTATTGATTTCTACTAAAAGCTGTTCTTTAGTTTACACGTATTTATCTTATTTACTGTTTCTTATGTATATGACTTTCTGCAATGCCTGCATTTTAAAACTTAATTATGTAGGTATTCTTCTCATGAAAATGTAATACTTAATGGGTAGCATGCATTTCACTTGTAACCTTATAAATGGCATGGTATTGCTCATGCTTTATCCCTAAATTTCAGAAACGTTTAGAGTTAAAATATATTCTAATTTGTTTTTCTTTTTTTTTTCCTACCAAGTTTCATGGTACACCAATTACTCGATCTAAGGAGAAAAAATCAACTATTACTACGCCTGATTCATCAAATTTAAAGAGATCAAGATCAGGTATAGTTTATATTGCAGTTTAGAAATTTTACTGTTATTTTTCTCACCTTTTTGACGCTGCAATACTTTTGGTTTTTTGTAGGCCGAGTACTTATTCCAAGGTTAGACTGTTCCATCAGGGCTGTGTATGAACCAGTGAGTTTGCTATTTGAATTTTAGGCCTGTCATTTCTGCTGTTAATTTAGGTTTATTTGCGATTAATTCATAATTTGGTCAAGATAAGGCTAATCTGGATGCATCTGTATTGGGCAACTGAAAACCATCACAGCTTGCTGTAAAATGTCATCCATGCGTGGAATTTTGGGAAAGATTATTGATGCACGTCATACAAATTAAAACAATATATTCTAATTATTGATGCACATTTCAAAGTTTACGTTTATCAGAAGCACAGGGTACTATGTTACAACAACAACAACAACAATATAGTCTTAATCCCACTACTTGGGGTCGGCTACATGAATCTTTTTTCTCCATTGCATCCTATTTAGTGTCATATTTTCATTTAGTTCTAATAAATTAAGATCATTTTTATACAATAAGCCCAAGTCTTCCTAGGTCTACCTCTGCCTTTCTTAACATAAGTCGAATCCAAAACATCTACTTTCTTAATTGGATCATCAGATGGCCGACGTTTAATATGACCAAACCATCTAAGACGACTCTCTAATTTTGTCCATCACTGGACCTACACCAACCCTATCATAGATATATTCATAGCGCATTTTGTCTCTACGGTACTATATTGAGATATGCAGATTAACAATCTACATTTTGATTTTATTTCATCTAATTTTATATTAGCTTATTTTGGTGTAAATATGCTTATTAAGCTGATCCCTCTGTAGAGTGAGTAGAGTTGTTTCACATTCTATTTTTTTATTATTTTATCAATTTTTATCAAAATTAAACTCTTTCAATTTTGCATCTTGCATATAAGGGATCAGGTCTGGGATTGACACATAATTGAATCTAAACTTTATCAACCATTTCAGGCTTATAGAGGATTAGTTTAAGAATTGTATGATTTGAATTTCTTTAAAGTGAATTTGGTGAAATTTGATTTTAAGAAATAAATCTCTTCAATTGAAATTTTATATTGATTTGACCATCATCGAGAAATTTGATTGTTTGATTTCTTGATTTGAAACTTATCTACTCTTACCCACCAACTAATGGTTGGGTTATAAGAATATAATAATTGAATTTTATTCAAATATTTGTTGAAACCTAATTTTGAAAATCAACCCATTTGGTTGAAATTTTCTATTAACTCAGTCATCATCGAGAATTTTGATTGATTTCTTGATTTGAATCTTGTTGATTGTGCCCCACTTGCAGAGGATCAGGTTCAAAAAAATTATAATAATGGAAAATTATTCAAATTTTTGTTGAAACAATATTTTGAAAATGGATTCTTTTGGTTAAAAAGTTTTTATCAACTCAGCAACTATTAGAGAATTTGATTATTTGATTTGAAAATTTTCAAATCTTTTCTGCTTACAAAGGACCGAATTCAGAAGTTATACTTAAATTTTAAATAAATTTTGGACTTTGAAGCTTAGTTTTAAAAGTTAACCTCTCCATTTGAAATCTTCTATCAACTCGGTCATCATTGATGAATTTATGTAATTTTGAATCATGTTAGTTCTGCCCACATATAGAGGATCATATTAAAAATTGTAATAGTTGAATTCATTCAAATATTTGTTAAATTTTAATTTAAAAAATAAATCTCTCCAATTAAAATTCTTTATCAATTCGGCCATCATCTAAAAATTTTTGTAACTTTGAACATTGACAACTCTGCACCACTTGTAGAGTGTAGGGTTCAGAGTGTTGAATTCATTTTTTATATTTTATACTTTGTCATCGTGTCTATGATTTGGTGCCAATCTTTGTCATGTTAAATATATCAATTTCAGATAGATTTTTGTATAAATTTTTTTTTTATTTCTCAGGAATGAAACACACATTCTTTTTATAAAATTCATATTTAATAATTAGTCAACCTCGTTAACTCTAGTCCTAATCTAGAGAAGGATCGGATTCAAAGTGTTGAATTCATTTGTTATATTACAGGCCTTGTCGGCTCTATCTCATTCATGGAGTATCAGGTTTATGAATTGATCTCCTTATTATTATTATATATTTTTTTTGTAAATGCTACATTGAGAATATTGGCTTGAGTTGAATTCTTTTAATAAAAAGTTCGATAATTTCATATTGATATAAAGATAAGATACCCCCCAGATTTTTATATAAAATTAGTATTCAATTATGAGGCAGCCTTATTATTTTCAATCCCCACATGTCGAAGGATCATACTGATTAGTATTCAATTTTATCAACATTTTTCCTTATTAAGGGAGGATTGAATTGGGCTAGTGGGACTTAACGAACTTGTTCTATAGACAACATAATCTGCTTGAGAGCGTGCATAATTTGATATTTTGATCTGATTTTGAGTAGATGAACTATGTAAAAGTTGCATATATGCATGCCTTCATAGCATAAGCAAAATTACTGTTTTCAGAATTTAGCATTTTTTAAAAAGTAATATATTTTAATATTCAATTCAATTTACGCCCACGCAGCATTTTCGGACCATACAATTGAGTTTTTAGTACGAGAGTCAGAGCACGTTCGGAATTAAAATTTTTGAAGTGAGTGTATTTTAGTGCAATTATGTGATTCACTTATACATATTTTATTGCACTTGCGCAAGAAACCTGCACACTCATATTTAAAAATATTCCAACTTATCACTTGCACACATTTCATTAGTATATAAATTGTAATAGTTATAAGAATGGATTGCAATTATACTTGAATCTATACAAATCCTGAAATTATCTACACTCATAAACCTTGTATAAGCCAGTTAGCAGTTGAAACACATGCAAGATTCCAATTTGGTCACCTTCCTGATCGCACTCTATTTGCTTGCATGGGAGTGTTATAGATCTAAAGTTGAATTCAGGGACAAGCGGGAATATTGCAGGTACAAAAATGTCTCATTATTCTATTTTCATATATATGACATTTAATCTAGGGGTCCAAAAGATTCTCATATTTTCGATACATTTGATCCCCCCTCCACCCTTTTCACTCTTTCTCTTCAATTCATTTCAAGGGCTTTGAGACTTCAATTGAAGCAAGGAAATTCTATCCTCGTTGGTGCAGGCTGTCGTATTCATTACAATTTTCTTTTTAAGCTTAACTTTTCATTTAAATTGTTTTTTTATTTTGTTTTCTATTTTTCTTGTCATTTAGTCAATTTTTTATTTTTAGTTTAAGTTTTATGTTAGTCCGAATTTTGGCAGTACTCCGACATCATTTTCCATACTGGGAAGGTAGTTATCTAGAATGTATGGCTCCCCACCTGTCTTCGTACGGGTGCTGCTTTACGACACCTGGGCTACATATTTTGACTTATCGGTCAAAGAAGGGTATAGCCCTTCATATACTGCATAAATACATAAAACATATTTTTCTGCTGGGTCGGAACAACCAGAGCGGATACTTAATTGCCTTGTATATATCTTAGTGCCAGGTAAGCAAACTTAAAGTGACAAAACAGCGAACTTGCAAGGAAAAATATAATATATGTTTATATATTTTTGCATATAGATTTTTTATAGTGAATTTGAATGTCGGTAGGCTGAAGGGAGGAGCGCGAACTAGTGAGATACAGTCTTGTTTGTGGACTGCTACGGGGAAGGAAAAGAGTGGTCAGAAGAGGGTTGTGTGTGAGAGCAAGAAGAATAGAGCTGTTGTGGGAATGAAACGGAAAACTCTACGCGACTGTGGCTCGAACAAGAGGGAACCAGAAAGAATAGGAGATTTCATGTGAATGAGCCTGGTGGTAAACTGGGCTCGTTATGGCAAGTTCAGCTAAGGAATGAAGCTCGTAAAGGAATTTCTTTGGTAGGAGAAGGTATGGGAGAATGACGTGGGACGGTGGGAGCTCTCGCTTCGCCTAATGTGTGACCCCTTCGAATTCCTGATCACAGGAAATGTGGATTGCGCTGATTTTGTGAAACTTCTTACTCCTAGAATGTTTCACTTTGTCTATTTTCAACTGCTTTCTTTCCTATTTTTTTAATTTTTAATAAGTTTTTTTCTATGAGGGGACTTTTTATAGCTTGTTATTTTCTATTTTTTTCCAGACGTTTACTTTATTTTGAGTATTATGAAGATTGTAAATCTGATTTACTGCTTTAGGAGTGTTGCATCCTCTTTCTTTTGCAAGTGATGTGTATATATCTTGCTCAAAAATAGGTAGTGAACTTTCTCACTGCCTAAATGTCGCCGATTCGGAGTTCTGTTTGTTGTTTTCAATCGAGATAGTTGTCGAATGATGCTTATCCCCCTTCCAAAAGTTGTCGGCCTCACTTATTTTTTTTTTCCCTCGCAAGTTTCCAACTCCCTCTCCTCAAAATCTACTTCAAAAATATTTTTTAAGAGCCCTAAAACGGTATCTCCTACGCTCGTGCGACTTCTTCCATTCGATTTATCCCTGGCTCAATCTACCGTCTGCTATCTCCGTCTTTATTTCACTTTTTCTCATCCTTCCCCCTTGATCCCTAGCTCATTATCTCACTTTTCTCACTCACCCCCCTTTCTCATTCGACCAAGGGCATCAAGCCCTCGGTTTTTGGCCGCGTAAAGCAGTGAGAGGTTCCCCTTATCACATGTAATTGCACTTTTAATAACATATATCAAATTGACACGCCTATTTTATTATTGAATTTATTTAAGCTAATTTAGAGTTAGTTTAATGTTAATTATTATCATTTTATTTAAATCTGTTTTATTAAGTAATTTTTTATTACTAAAAAATAATTATTGGGGCATTTTGGGAGAACTATTTCTTTGGTATGAGGAGCATCTGTAGTCTCAGTCTCCATGTCAAGTATTTTCATGGTTAAAGTGATTGTCAGGGTCACTATGATTTATTTATGTTACTGATATATCGTCAACTTCACCGTTGAAACCTCCCTGTCTTCGCCTTGATGGATGTAGGCTAGTGGAATTCAAATACACAAATTTTAGGTCGAAACATTTGCTTGATTCTACTCTTTTCGGTTGCCTAGTTCTGTTATCCAAATCAAATTTTATCCTAAAAGCTTGATCTAACATGATAACGTCAGTAATCATGGCATCTGATCCCTTGTCACCGCAAAACCATTCGTACAAAATCTAAAGTTATTGTATTGATTGCACATCAATGACTTGTTGAATGATCAACATAAATTTAGTGATTCATTTCTTTCAATAATGACGAAGTCGAACACCTGATGACCAATCCATTTAACGTTTCGTGAAACAAGAATCTAGTTCTCACCAAAACACTCTATCCCTAGAGTAGAAGGATGGGAGTGGGAGTGATTTTATAAGACATTATTTTTTTATTAAAATTTATATATTTTCTTCCACAGTTGTACTCTACTTCTATATGGAATTATTTTGTCTCTTGAAACTCGTCGGTAACGAAAACATCTGTTTTGAATTCATGATATAATGAAATCTATCCTCATCACTATAATGCAGGATAGATTTATCCCTAAATTTTTTCTTACATTTTTCTTTCTGGAAATCTATTAATTTAGCATTTTCACGTCCACCGGCATCTCTCACTTAGTCTTTTAAATTCATGAACACACAAATTGGAAAATCTTTCATTCATAAATGACCTTAACTTTTGAAAAATAAACATTTCCTTATTCAACCTTGTGACTTTGGTCTCAACTAGTCAAGCTACATAGTGAGTTATGGTCTGCCTCTTGCATTTACGTTCCCTTAAATTTGTGAATCTCATAAATTTTGATTACATTCAACAAATGATCTGTAGCTATTTTAGGTACATGGAATATAATCCCTATTTATAAATTCTTACTATTCTGAACTTTATATTTGAATAAAACTTTCATCTAGTGTATTTATTATTTTCTTTTATGCTTTTGTCTGCAGGATGGTTCATTTTTTGGAACTGCTGCTGTGGTAAAGCCAACATGCCCACGTTAAAGTCAACACTTACATATATAAATATAAACATATTGATTTATTTATTTTGTTTTATCTGCAATATGTGCTTTGTGCCTATAGGGTGGCTCATGTGGTGGAACTGCTGGCTCGTTGATTTCAACTTCACCATCCAAAGGTCTGTCCACTTCCTTAAGATAAGTAGCTTTTCAAGAATTTCAGTACGACAAGACGTCGTGTTGTGATTTTTTCATTCCCTTTGAATCTTTGTTAGAGACCCATTTTTTATCCACCCCAGGTTGAGGGATATATTCCCTTTTTTCTTTTATTAAAAAGAAGATACTGTTAACACTTAAAAAAAATTCCGCCATCAACGATTTTAGTACTATCTTTGCAAATAATTGCAACCACCCTAAAATAGAACCTTATTTTGAGGGATATATTTTCTGTCTAAAAATCAGAATAACCCATCACATGTTTGTATTATATTGAGGCGGTGTTCAAGTTAGGCGTGTAAATGAGCTGAGCTAGCTCGTGCTTGGCTCTTTTACAAGCTCACGAGCTGAGCTTATCGAGCCACGAGCTCAAGCTAAAACTTGAGCTTATCCTGGCTCGGCTCATTAGCTCTTAGGCCGGCTCAATTGGCGTACCACTAGTCTTTTCGATGCATTTTTCAGTGAGCTGCCGTTGCATCCTCCTCCTTCGGCCACCAATACAGTCTTCGATGAGCTCCCATAAAAATTGAATTTTTAGTTCGAGCTCGTGAGCTAGCTGAAGTTGGCTGCTGCCTCTACGAGCCGAGCTTGAGCTCGCCATTCGAGCTAGACTCGAGCTCGAGCTCACAATCTGTCAGAAGAGCCGAGCTCGATAATGGCATGGCTTGAGCACGACTCGACTCATTTACACCCCAAGTTCAAGTTGTTCTAAAGATTTTGGATTAGAGAAAAAAATGTTTGACACTAGTGGTATATCCAAGATGTCTTTGTTTTCGAGTTTAGTAATTTGAATTGTTTATAATTTTCTAGTTGTATAAGTTGTGGGGTATGAAAATAATTTGGAGATGCCCATGCTTTATTGAAGCAGGAGTTTATAGGATTTGCTTGTTGCTTCTTTAAACCGAGATTCCTAGATCAAAGGTAAAACTAAACCTTCTTAAATTGCAAATTTGGATACTCATAGCATCAACTTATTAATATGTGGAAGTTTAATGAAGGCACCTCAACTAGTAGTTAAATTGAAATTTGTTAGTTTTACAAGAAATGAATTGATAACCCTTGGTTTCTTCACTGACATATTAGGACTTGATTTTATTTAGATTTTAAGTTAGGTAATTAACTGAACAAGTGGTTCGGGAGTATTGACAAGAGTATATTATAGAGAGTTGAAGGTAAATTTTATAACTGGATCAATTATGTTATTGGCGCTTTAATTGAGTCGAGTATGTTATATATAGGACATGTCTTGGTCATATTATAAATTAATAATGTTCAATTCGAGCTTGAAGGTAGCTCTCACATTCATATTTACCCTTGGCTTGATTGAGTTTTTTAATATTCATACTTGTTTTGTTATTATTAATTGAACGAATACTTAAATGATTTAAACAAAAATCAAATTTAAATGAATATTTGGATTTTCATATCCAGATAATAACCAATGATTTTGCAAATCTAAGGAAACATGCAATTAACTCCAAATTAGTGTATAACTACTTAAAGCCAACTAAAAAATGAGTTGCAAGCAAGTTTTCTTGTAATTAAATAACATAAATATGTAGTAAAAAGTTATTTCATTGAAATAAAGAAATAAAAATGAATTGCATTAAATTAATATGCATATTGATATTAAAATATAATATATTATTATATAATTAATAGTTAAATATAAAATATTATTGATATTAAATTCTAATGTATTACTATTAAATAGTTTATTAAATAACATGTATTTAATTAAAATTTATTTAACATATATGATGTGAGCTATTATGGAGCATTTAATGAGTTATTTGTCGAACAATAAACTTGTTTGTTCATGAACAAAATAAATGTCACACATCAACTTACCCCTTTAAGAGTCAACTGCGGTGTGACAGAGGTGAATAATTCGTCCAGACCAAATCCTCAACAGCACCCGTCGTGATTTTCAAAGAATCAATCTAACTAAATCGCCGCAAATGTACATGATTCAATTCATTTTATTATTCATTCATATACTTGGAAGTGTAGAAAATCATATCACCAAAATATATATATATCTATACAGAGTTGTTAAATTCAACATAATAAAAGTACGTATCCCAAAAGTCTGTACAAACTCCCAAAATTTTATTGCAAAAGTTGTATAGGTCACACATAGCTACTTAACCTGGTGCACTTTATCCCTTCTTGGAAGTCAACAACATAGAATGAGCTACAATAAATTCGGTGAAATAAAGAAGACTAACATACAATTTTTTAAACGAAAGAAAAAACAACTTTAATTATCTTGGTAGCTCATATGCGCGACAGAAGAATATATATATATATATATATATATATATATATATATATATATATAGACACACACACACACACACACACACACATGCTGAATTCTAATGAATCAAATAAAATAAAAGACATAGTAAACTGTAACTAAGTGGGACATGTATTTATAATATATGTAGATGATATTATTTTGACATGCGTTGATTCAAAAGAAATTATTATATTAAAATGGATGGTTGCAACATAATTTGAGATCAATGATCTGGAGACTCTCAGATACTTTTTGTGATTGTAGGTGACTCGATTGAATGAGAGAATTGTCTTGTTCCAAAGAAAGTACATCTTGAGCCTTGATAGATATTTTCTGCCATTCAATTCACACCTCTCCCAATAGGTTTGCCAAGCCTCTGATTACAAATGAATATCATCAATATCAAGCTGATCACACCCTGATGCAATTTTAATTTTCATAGCATATATAGATATTATTTTGATAAGTGATAATTCAGAAAAAAATTATCATACTATAAATGATGCTTGCAAAAGAATTTAAGATCAAGGATCTTGGAACTCTCGGATACTTCTGGGAATGGAAGTGACTCGATTTAAGGAGGGAATTACATATTCCAAAAAAAGTTCAATTTAGATAGGTTGAGTAAAACTGGTTTGCTAAAGTGTAAATCGGATGACACACCCATGAATCTCAACAAAAAGCTAAATAAATGTGAACAAGTAATCCAGTTGATAGAGGAAGTTATCAAAGATTTGTGAGAAAGCTGATATATTTATCACACACAAGACCTCATATTGCACACTCAGTTAATGTAGTATGTCGACGCATGAATAATCCAAATCAAGATCATTTAAAAGCAACGAACATAATTTTGAAGTACTTGAATATGACTCTTGGATATGGTTTGCTCTTCAAAAAATTTGAGAATCGTAATATTGAGATATACACATATATTAGTTGGGCGGGAGAGAACTTTTAAGAAATCAACCACTTGATATTATTCATACGCCTAGGACATTCTCATCACGTGGAGAATCAAGTACAAGTCGTCTCTCGTAATAGTACAAAATCTGAATATTATGCTATTGCACTATGAGTATGTGAAGGAACATGGCTTCAAATACTATTAGGGGAACTTAAGGTTGAGACAAAGGGCAAAATTAAAAAAATTTTTTTAAAAAAAGTTGTCTACATACCACTAAATTCTTATGTATTTACATATCTAACCCTCAAAGTTTGGCATTTAACATTGATGACACTTTGGTTTGACGAAACTATTCATCAAAATATATATTCACTTTGAAAAAGTTAGTTATTTCGATATTCTTGATCTGATGTTAATCATGTAAATATAAAAATTTAGGTGTTAGATTTGTAAATGCCCCCTTTTCTTCCCCAATAAATTATATGTTGTGGTAATTCGTGGTTGTGGAGGAAAAAAAATCACAATTAGAGCTTTAATTTGCTTAGAATCTTTATGTCAGCATATTTGACAATAAGTTATACATCATGAAATTTAGATACTCTGTTAATTGATAGCACAGTCTATGTGAAATAATATGTGTGCTAATCTAATCTGTTGTGTGGGCAGGGAGTGGAAAATCGCTTCATAGAAAGAAGCGTAAGAGGCAGCCATAGAAGCCTCTTCCCAGGTAGCAGAGACCAGGTTAATAATGGCATTTTGCTTTTGTTTTGCTTTAGTTGTATATTTTAGATTGTCCCCTTACTTTCTTTAAATATGTAAAAAGACATTTTTATATGAAGTTATATACAAAATGGCAGAACTCTGCTGCTGCTGCTGCTGCTGCTACTGCTGCATGATTTAAGGGTAAATTTTGTGCATACCACACAATTCTCATTTATTGGCATATATATCACTTAAAGTTTAATATTTACTCTTTACGTCTTGATGTCATGAACTTAAAATGTGTATATATGTCACCTTGTTTACATGCAGATCTTTAAATATTTAAGATTATATCAAAAATAGAATTACTACTTTTAAAAGTGAAATGCACATTTTCATTCAAAGTCTTATGGCACTGAAGTCTATGGTAAATATTAAACTTTAGGTGATAGATTTGTATATGCATAAGAAATGTGTAGTATTGATGCAAATTATCTCTCAAGGTGTGTTTGGGGCGGCAGTGTGGTGGTGCATCATGTTTTTTTTTTATTTGTCAAAATTCGTTTTTGCCTATTTTTTTTTAGAACTGCAGCTGAAATCTGTGTTTTACCACCGGATCTAGCTATATGTAGAACTGCTAGAAAGTTGCGGTTGAACTTTTTATTTTTATTTTTTTGGTTGTAACCGCCGTACTTTTTTCACTGTAGCAACTTCACAGCTGCAACTGCCCCAAACAGACACTTAATATATAATAAACCTAATTTTTCTGTATTAACATATCTAACACTTCAAAGTTTATTGTTTTTACATTTTATGTGTTCCAAATCTTTCATATCACATCAAAAATATCACCATTTTATTTAAAAAAAATGGAATATATATTTGTGAGTCAACTCATGATTTATCTTGGACTCGACAGCTTGATCTAACGTGTCAAGTTCAAACAAGCTTTGACTCGACTTGTTTGCTCGTGCGCCAATTTATTTTAAAAATAATTAATTAAAGATTTATTTAAAATATATTAAAATTTAAGAAATTTATTTAAATTATTAAATGTCTGAAAATTATATTTTATATTTAGTTATTTTGTATTAATTATTTCTGAGATGTACAATCTGTCATCTATTACAAAAACAGAAATAAAAATAGTAATTTTCCCCTTTCATATTAGAAAAGCTTAAGCCTAAGCTTTTAAAACTGAAATGTCTTTCAATGCATGGGTTAGACATCAAAATATTATAAATGTACATATTAAGATTTAGGTGTTTAATATGTAAATATCTTGAAATTGTGTGGGATGTCTAAAATCATAGACTTACATAAATTTAATGTTTTATGTATTTTTATTTTTTAATGATTTTTTGCTTATATTTAAAAAAAGAACACTTGAATAGTATACATATTTTAATATTAATATAATCTTAAGAATAAATTAATTTACATTTAAAAATACTCAAAATAATTTTGAGAAATTTGCATAAATACCACACAATTTTTATGTATTTACATATCTAGCACCCAATGTTTGATATTTATGTTATAATATTTTGTGGTCATAAATCTTTACATGAAAATTTGCATTTCAATTTTAATTATGTTTTGAGTGCTATGTAATTATCAAATAATTGAAATGATAGTAAATATAATGATGATGATGATCTACAATACCAACCAATCCATCTACAATACCATCTCTTGTTGACAAACATTGCCTATACAAGGTTGTATAATTACTGGCTCATCCTCACCCTTCTTGGATTGTTCCTAAGAGTTCTGACTCTTACCTGAGAAGGTTGGACCGAGTTAGACTCAGAACTTCTCCTACTGAAGAAATCATCTTCTCTATCCAGATTGCGAGTTATGACAATCCGCTTCTGCTGCATTCGTACACTCCTGTCGTTCGAGAACTCGTTCCGATTGTAACGGCCACCTTCTTCATTCTTCCAGCCATGGTGAGATCTCTCCTGAACCTCTTCTCCAGGCTCATCTGGATGAACTTGCAAACCTCCTTCGTATTCAGATTGAAGGAAAGATCTATGTTTGATTGTGAAGTCTGCCTCAACTGATGAATGAGATGATTTCTTTGTGGGAGTTATTCGATCGAACACCGAAGCTCCATCGTTCCTGAAATTTCGCCGGCCCTTCGCTCCATTAGATCTCCCGTTGAATTTCTTCGCTCTCCCTACTGATCTGATGCCAACAAATGAGTCCTTTTCGTTGTTCTCACTGGAGGACTCGACGCGTAAATCATATGGTCGAATGTTTTGGAGATCGGGCTCGAGTTTGAACCAAACCGGTCGCTTGTTCTCATCCATCTTTCTGAAAGTGATAGAGATTCTATAGAATTCAAGCACACGAAATTAGAACGTGGAGGATATTCGAGCTTAAATGAGCCGAACGTGAGCGAAACCGGAGATTGTCTGCGTTTAGGGTTGTGTGAAATTTTTTTTATTTGAATTAGACTCGTGTTCGAAATAGCTCGTGAATAGCAAGTTCATATTTGACTTGACGTTCATTATTCGCTTCAACTCATGTTCGGCTCAAATAATTTGAAAATTAATGAATTTAATATTTTTTAAATACAACTTAAAATTTAATATAAAAGGGATATTATAAATATTTTTATCTAATTATTTAGTTAATTCAAGCAAAATGAGCAAGCATGATCTAATAAAATATTTGTTCGTACTCGACTCGTTTATGAATCGAGCTCAAGAAAATAGTTCGTGTTTGACTCATTTGTTTAATTAACAAATCAAGCACGAACAATTTAATGAGCCGAACATGAATTGTTGCAAATGACGAGCTTTTTTGACGGTCCTAGATTATATATTTTGCCTAGAGAAAGAAGGTAATCACACCTCTTGGAAGGAACTGCTTGAACCCAATGCTTTGCAAGATTAGCTCCTTTACCATTAAAGATCAGAACAGACCTGAAAAAAATTAGTATTAGAAGAATGTAAATTATTTTGAGGAATATAAAATAATGAGGAAAGGAGTAAAATATGCATCAGACAATTCATTAAATAAAGTTATTTAGCACATAAAATGAAACAATTTAAGCACACAAAAAGATCACCTTTTACCAGTAGATTGCAGTTTCATCTTTTTGTGTGCTTAAATTAAAGGTGATTCAACCAAGTCCTTAAATTGAAAAAAAAATAATCCAGGTCCTTATTTTGATAATGGCTTATTTACACACATACCATCCCATTCCTATGTATTTACATATATAACACCTAAACTCTGCCTTTTACAATTATACCCACCCAAAACTTCCATATCACAGCAAAGATGCCACTATTTTAACTTCTAAAGAGTGAAACACAGCTTTTCATGCATAGGTAAGGTGGCATACATGTAAAAATTGAAGTTTAGGTGGTAGATATGTAAAGACATAAGAATTGAATGGCATGTATGTAATTTTCCATTTGATAAAATAGTAGATATGTAATAGATATGTAAAGACATAAGAATTGAATGGCATGTATGTAATTTTCCATTTGATAAAATAGTAGAGCTTTTCTCATATGCAAACTATCAAGAAGAGGTGGACAAGATTTCAAAGCAAATATAATTCTGGTAGGTTGGACTCCCAAAATTGAGTTGTAATGAATACATTATTATCTGCCGTTCAAAAGTATGATACATCCCCTAACGCGAAACCCATCCAACGAGCTTTCACCTCTAATGCATCTCCTCCCCCATCCCTCTCCTGCAGCCCAAACACTAAACCGGCAAGCTCCCATCAGCTTCACTGTTCACGCATCCACTGTCTCACCAAAGCATCGACCTGCAGGAAATCTCCTCTTCCCTCTCCTGCAACCAATCCCAGCTCTTTTCCTCCTCTGCTTCTCCAATACAGCGAAACTTCATCTCTTTATTTGTGTCACATCAGCCATTATTCATTCCATCTGAGAATCAGTTCTCCAATTCGACTCCGGTACACCTCTTACTCACAACCAGCACTCGCACATTCTGACCTCCTCCCTACTGTATCGAGCAAACCAAATATCTCAACACAACTACTTGCTCTCCCCCACTCCCGGCCGAAGCATTAAACAGCACAAGACTGCCCGTGAGTAGCACTGCGATTCCCGCTACAGCAGCTACCTAAACCAACTACTCCACCACTCAACCACGCAATTTAACCACTCTCTACAAAATAAATAAATAAATATAAATGTATCTCTCTCTCTCTCTCTCTCTCTCTCTCTCTCTCTCTCTCTCTCTATATATATATATATAGAAGATCGCCTTGGAGATTCGTCGCCTCATCCTCGCATAATATAGGGAAATTAAGCACATGTTTGGGTTGTTCCGACATGACGGGCAAATATATTTTGGCTATTTAGGCAGATACTGTGAAATTTTTGAGGAAAATAAGTTGGATACTGAATAGGCTCGATGCATTTTCCCTTTGCTTTCATTCCATTAAATAATAATCTTACAATCTATTTTAGATAAAAAATATTCTCATAATCTTTCTTAGGTAAGTTGATAATACATATTTTTAATGTAAATATTCAACTAAAAGGGAAATAAATCAGAATAAAGATATTGAAAATATTAAATAAAGAAGCTCTTAATTATAGAAAACTCCTAATTCAACTGTCTGATTTCCGTTCTTCCTGATTGACAAATACCTGGAAGACTTGCACCGTCTTTTAGATGTGTAGGTTAGAAGACATACAGGTGTAAAAATATCCATTTGGGTTGTTTCAATCCGGCGGGAAAACTGCGTTGTGCTTAATGCTTTTCACAAGCACCTAAAAACCTATGCACATTTTTGAAGTGTGGAGGGTTAGAAGACTTCATAGCTAAGGTGTCTTACGACATCTATCATGCATGCCTTTTTAGGCGTGATGGAAGACAAATTACTCCCCTGATAGTGCTAGAATGCTGACAAAATTCATACTGACACAGGACCTAAATTTATGTTAAATATAACATAAACTGGAGTTGAATTGAACAAAATAAAAGGCTCAAATTGACTAAATAATTCAATTAAAAGCCAAAAAATAAAAATAAAAAAGGTTCCACATGAAAATATATTTCAAAATTTGAATACTAAATAGAACATAAATGGGACTAGATGGCTCAGATATGAGCAAGAATGGAACCTATAATGCACTCAGTCACTTAACAACAAGCATAAAAAGAACCTGCAATGAAATGGGTAGCTTACCTACGAGCACAAGCAAGATACTTTAATGAATAATCAAATTACTATGTCGGGTTAGAAATACATAAAATTAAAGGCAAATGAAACATAAAAATGATTGGGAAAGAATTTAATTGTTCACCATTAAGCTCGAATAAAATGCTTTATTTTTACCGTCACATTAGTGAAAAAGAAGTTGATGAAACTTTAAAGAATACCAAGGGTAGATAATCAATAGGACCTGATGATATCACAATTAAAGTGTGAAAATATTTAGGAGATTTGAGAATTTTTTTAGTTTACTAAACTCTTTATTATTATTTAAAAACTACAAAAAATGTTTGAGGAGTGAAGGAAGAGTATTCTGGTCTCAATTTTTAAGAATAAAGGGGACGCACAAGAGTGTGCAAATTATAAAAGAATTAAGTTGATGTGTCATACTTTAAAACTATGGGAGAGGATAAATGAACATAGGTTATGATGTGATACCAAGGATTTTTCAGAATCAATTTGGATTTATGCTGGTTAGGACTACTATGGAAGTTATACATTTATTGAGAGGTTTGATGGAGAAGTACCAAGAGAACAAGGAGGATCTATATATGATTTAGAAAAAAAGCTTACGATAAGATTCCAAGAGAAATCCTTTGGAGAATTTTAGAGAAGAAATGTGTCGGTATGAATTATATTTAAGCCATTACAAATATGTATACTAGAGTTGTTACATGTGCTCGAACAGAAGAAGGATTGACCAAGTATTTTCCTATTTTAGTTGGGTTACATCAGGGGGATCGCCTTTAAGCCCATATCTTTTAGTTTTAATTATGGATACTCTTACTGGACATTTACAGGAGGATGTACCTTGGTGTATGCTTTTCACTGGTGATATCCTTCTTGTGGATAAGACGAGAGAAAGAGTTCAAGAAAAAACTTGAATTATGGAAGTCTACATTGGAGTCTAAAGGTTTTCATTTGAGTAGATCTAATTTCATTTGAGTATAAAGGTTTTCATTTGAGTAGATCTAAAACTGAGTACATGGAATGTAATTTTAGTAGTATATATCTAGTAACAGAGTTGTAATTATGGGCGATCAAATCATTAAAAAGTCATAACGTTTTAGATATCTCAGGTCTATTATTCAAATTAATCGTGACATAGATGGGGATATTATTGGCAGAATTGAAGTTGGTTGGTTGAAGTGGAGGAATGCATCAAGCCTATTGCGTGATATAAAGGTACCGCTCAGACTGAAAGGAAAATTTTATAAGATGGTGGTGAGACCTGCAATATTTTATGGCGCAGAATGTTGGCCTTTAAAAGAGAAGCATAAAACAAAGTTAAGTGTTGGTGAGATGAGAATGCTTAGGTGGATGAGTGGCTTGACACTTAGAGACAAAATGCAAAATGAATATATTCGTGATAGGGTTGGTGTAGCATCAGTGGCGGAGAAGATTAAAAAGATCCAACTTAGATGGTTTAGTCACATTAAATGTCGACAATCTAATGATCCGATTAGGAGAGTAGATGTTTTAGATTCAACTTATGTTAAGAAAGAGGTAGACCTAAAAAGACTTGGGGGCATTGTATAAATAATGATCTTAATCTATTAGAATTAAAGGAAAATATGACACTGAACAAGACACAATGGTGAAAGAGGATTCATGCAGCCGACCACACAGTGAGATAAAGGCTTGTTGTTGTTGCCATTAAGCTCGAATAAAGCCTTATTGACGTTAGAAATTTAAAAAAAATATGAATTGAATACAAACAAATTTCATATTTTAAATGCACAATTAAAACATAAAAGTGCACAAATCACCCTCGGATCCGCAACTGTCCTATATGAGCGAACAAAAGATGATATTTGAGCTTAATAAAAAATTTATGTAATTTAATGATAAGCTACTCACACAAACACTTAAAATTCATAAGAATTAATGACTTAACATGATTTTTGGGGTCATTTTTAGTTAAAGATGCTATTTTGAAATTCATGAACAAGCATCGATTAACATACCACTAAATTCAAAGGCATCCATAATTAATTAACTTAGATAGCATTAAATTATGCATGCTTAAAAACACAACATTTGAATGTGTATCAAAGAACATGAAAGCATATCCTAAAGCACACCAAGGTGCGTGAATGTTATTAAGTTTGCTGGCCCACATGTGCTCCAACCATATTGCTGAAAGCTTGATCGTATGGTCTGAGTACATTGCACAGGCATAAATTGTCTCAAATATTAAAATATCTTATCTTAAAAAGTGTGCTAAATTCTTATAATAATAGTTTTATCTCTGCTTCGAGAAGCATACGTGTGATTTAAAAACATAAAATGCCCAATTGCTTTTAAAATTCAACTTATTTTAGAAATCCAAAATTTAAATCTAAAAATGCATGCTCTCATATGGGTTGCATTGGGTCATAAGTCTCACTCAATCAGTCCGATTCTCCTAATTAGAACTGGAGTCGACGAGAATGAGCCCATGTTTAACCAATTCGATACTCCTCCTGATTAGAACTGGAGTTCACGAGATTGACTAATTATTATGAAATATGAATTATATATAAAGAATTAGAAGTGTTTCATTCATAAGAGATAAGATTTATTAAAAAATCTATCTAAAATTGATATCTTCAATATGACAATAACTGGTCCTCCATGAACGGGATAGAGTCAATAAAGTTTATAATTGAACAAATAAATTCAATACTTTGAACAAGAGCCTTTGTAAGCAAAGCAGAATTGACAATGTTCAAATCAAATAATTTAAATTCATTGATGATGACCGAATTAATAGAATATTTCAACCGATGGGTTTCACTTTCAAAGTTAAATTTCAAAATTCATTTAAAATTCAATCATTACAATTTCTAAACCAATCATTTGCAAGCATGATAGAATTGAGAAGGTTCGAATTCAATCATGTGTCAATCCCAAAGTAAATCTTTTGTAAGCGAAAAGTAAAGTTAACAGGATTGATTCAAATGATAAAATTTAATCAACTTATAAAAAAATCATAAAAATTATAAAATATTAAAATTAAAATCACTAAAAAATTTAAAAGCAAAAATCCTCTACCTTTCAAACCAGTTTGTTGAGGATGACAATTTTATATTTGACTTAAGTTCGCATAAAGCCAGTGTCAAGTGTACTACCACATTCACTTTCAAATTAACGTGTACCAGTAGAGACATGACTAGTATCCTCTGTCCACGAGGCATGACGAGCCGACTCCACAAAAAAATGGTTCATACCCGAGCCCTCTGATCGGATGATTGTCGCCAAGTGATAAAATTAAATTACGATCACGATTGTAGCCCTTATAATTCCCAACAACTCTCTGTTCTTTGAAACGTGAATGATAGGATATATTTCATAAGACAACAATCCCTTTGTTGGTTAAGATCAACTCAAATTAGTCTCCTTAAACAAACCTCACCCCATGTCTACAAGGTTTTCTTGCACGAAACAACCCATGACTGCTAACAAGAATCTTTTTATTAGATTAGGTCGAATACCTCCTCTGAGTAAACAAACCAGGGTTTACGATGACCAGAGATGACATAACCAAGGGATCTTGATCAGGATCGTCATCATTTTCCCCATTAATATGCTTTTAAAGTTACAGTGATGAGGACACGAGAGTTGGGACCCTAAACAAGCTTGGTCCAGGTCGGAGGATTGGTCTACCCTCTCTGAGCTTAGGGCTACTGCCCATTTGGAGTGGGGCCCAATCCTAGTTATCTAGGAATATATATTTGCATTGTTGGTATTTAGGGTTTAGCTTTTGTTGTGATTTGCTTTGGGATAGTAGTTGACGTCTCATCTTCTCTTTTTAGTTATGTATCCTTGGATTCCAGTGGTGTTCCGGTCTTACCTTAATCTTCAGGTGGTGTGTATCCCCTTCTACCCTTTCTCCACTTGATTCCCTTCGCCTTCACCGCTTTCCTCTTTTGCTGCCACCTTGTCAAACCCCTTCCTCCTACGGCTGATTCCAGCCTGCTAGTTGTCTCTTGCCACCACCACGGAGGTCCAAGCCCTAACCTACACCACCTACACCCTTGATCCAAGCCTCATTCTAGTGATGTGTTGTTGTTTTATTGCAATTTCAAATTTTTCTTATTGTTCGTTATAATTTCAAATTTTGAATTTAGTAATAAATTTTTTTTCGCCGAGTGTTTGTTAAATTTGGGTATCAGAAAAATTCGTACAATCTATAATTTAATTAAATTTCCCAATATAAAATCCTAATCATTGCTACTATATATTGAGTAATCAACACCCTAATGACTACCCTTAATCGAAAGTGTTATCATATTATCAAGAGGGGTAATTTAACCAAGAAGTTTGCGCCTATAGGAAATCTCGAACTTCAGATAAAAAAGCTCTCACAAAAAGAGTGCAAGATTTTTGGGTTTTCTTATCTACAATTTAATTTGCCTTATACAAATTTGACCTGGAACCTCAAGTAAACTCTCTCTTCATTCATTTTCGAGAGGGGAAACAAATTTTCAAAACCCACTGACACACCTTAAAAAATTAGCATAAATGCAATTCCATGCTTCTCCATTACTCTCAAACTCAAATCTAGAGCTATCGTTACATCAAAATATAAATTAACACAGAAAAGTTGATTTCAACATCACTAGAACTGAGACAACCCAACAACATCAATTCCTACTACACATATAATAACAGAAGATTTACATACAGAACACTCAATTCTTATGTATTGACATATCTAACACCAAAACTTCAATATTTAAGAAAAAATTGCCGCCATACATATGCATGAAAATGTGTATTTCACTTTTTAAAAGTTAAAAGTTGTGGTATTTTTTATGTGATATGAAAGGTTTCGGTGGTATAAATATAAAAAATAAAATTGAAGTGTTATATTTGTAAAAACATAAGAATTGGGTGGTATGTAATGTAAAATACAGTACAAATATATTAAACATACTTACCCAATTGGAAGTGAAATTGGAGTTGATCCCTCGACTTCCCCTGCATCAGTGACCTTAAGGTTGAATCCAAATATTATATCGCACTCACTTAAAAATGAAACCGTGCAAAATGGACGAACAAAATCATTGCTTTCAATATTAGGCTGTACAGAATGGCCTGGTTCATAGATATTAACACTGCAGCAATCAGGTACGCAAGAGATGGGCATCACATGCCAACCAATCAACCTTTTTATCATGAGTTTGAAAAGATTGGGTATAGGATCAGCTGCTGCATTTCTAAGGATGCCTGGAGGATTTTCATTTTGTTCCTGTAATCAATATGGCAGTTAATATCTATTTTTTGGGAAGATATCCAAAAATACCACTCAATTCTTATGTATTTATATATCAAACACCCAAACTTCAATTTTCACATATATACCACCCTACTTATGCATTAAAAGGTGTATTTCAATTTTTAGAAGTTAAAATAGAGGCAGTTTTGATATGATATGAAAGATAATGTAAAAAAATCAAAGTTTAGGTGTTATATCTGTAAATAAGTAGGAATTGGGAAGTAAATGCGATATTGTTGGAGATTAATAAAGAAATAATAAGTTAGATGATGGTACAACCATATAGCTATAACAACATCCAAATTGAATTGTTGCGCATCCTTGGCCTGACGTATGGTCTTTTGTTTCAGGTTGTTCGGAATATGTATGCTCTGTAAGAATTTATTTTGAAAATTCGTCAATAGAAATGGATTTTCATTATAAAGGGGGATATAATTTAAAAAAACACATAATAACAATACATAACAGACAAAAGGAGACGAGTTGCAATGAAAAACACAAAAGAACTTTGTAGACAAAACAATGAAAAGAATAGCACAAGAACAATCTCCAATTGGAAAAATAAATAAATAAAAAGCTAAGGGAAATAAAAAATCTCATTGAGGCTTTGGATTATGATTTGTATAGGCCAGTCAAAATGATATAGCATAATATAAATTATTCTTATAAATGTAAAGTGAGCTGAGTTAGCTTTAAAGAAGGGATATAATGACAGATACATCCAGTTGAAATGAGATGCCAATAAAACTCGTTGTGAGAGATATTATAGCACTTTCATTAACAACATCTTTAACCAAAATCTTAAACATTATAAGGATAATAAATAATTTGAGACCGAGCATTTTCATATTAATAATTAGGGGCATTTACAAACAAACCATACAATTCTTATGCATTTATAAATCTAACACCAACTCATTCATATTTATATACATAACATTTAAATCTTTAATATAACATCAAAAATACTACTATTACTAACTTTTTAAAAGTAAAATAAATTGTTTTCATGTATAAGCTTATGACATTAAAGTATTATAAATGTAAATATCAAACTGTAGATGTTAGAGTGTAAATTCATAGAAATTGTGTGGTATGTATGTGAATTTTCCTAATATTTAATAACAAATAAAATTTTCAATACTATACTATATATTTGGGGGATGTACCTTACAATTACTAATATCAGAAGGGTGATAGGACATAGGGATAGAACCCATGAGTATAGAGATTCAACTTTGTTTTATAAAAAGAAGATAAGATCCAATATGCAGGTCATTTTTTGTAATAGGACAATCAATGAAAAGAGTATTAATAAAATCATATTTATATTATCTTTTTGATGCTCACAATGCATATGATTATCAATAAAATTATTACTAATAAGCAAAAAATCCTATGCATTAAGAAAAAGAAGAGTTATATCAAAGAAATCATGAAGTTATTAAAGCTAAGTATGATGATTAATTGATTATTAATATTAGTAGTTATTGAAGAACAAACAAGTTTCTATTTCATCCGAGGTTTACAAAAGTTAAGATTTAAGTCTAAATAGTTTTGTGTTGGTAATGGATATGGTCTCACAAAATATATGGAAAGTGAGATATCATGATAAATATTCCTTGTAGATGACAAGATTATATTAAAAACACCAGCTAAAAAAAAATTGAATATGAGAAAATTGAAAAAGAAATAGAAGATAAGAGATGCAGGTTTAGATGAACAAAGATTGACTACAAGACAGACAAGTATTAAACTGATAGCAACCAAAAAATTCTACTGAAAAGTCAAATGATCCTTTGCCCTAATAGGTTCAAGTGATTTGGGCCTATTATGTAGAGTGCTAGAGACCTAAATGAGCATATTGATTTTAAAATTATTAAAAGATTATTAAAATAAAGAAGAATTGCAAGAATATCAAGCAATTAAAGATTATAACGGAGACAGGTAAATCCTAAGACATTGCAACTAAATCCACTATAATACCTAGTGGTGAATTTTGGGAGATAAAGAAGATACTAATTATCAAATTATGAATAACAAAAATGAGAATATTAATATAGTTGTGTGCAAACTTTTTTGGGAATAGAATAAGAAATGATATGATTAAATAGGCAAAAAAATTAACACCTACTGAGAGTAAAAAAGTAGGAAATAAAATTTAGTCGTACAGCAAAAGTAAAAATTCACCAATAAGATAAATAAATAAAACAACGTGAAAGGATTATAAACACAAACAATGCAAGATGTGTAAAAGTTAGCTTGTCCAAATACAAAATTTCAAGTTATGAAATGAAATAAAATGCAAATATTTATATGGATTTTCTAATGAAGCTGTAACAATCTAATGCAAATCAAATGCACAAAGGTTGCAATGTTTATAAAGAAGTAAAATATCTTAAAATAAAATTTATTTATCACTACAGTTGAATAATAAGAAATAAACGAACTACATCTATATGAAATATCAGTAAATCTATGAGAAATTAATCACAATAATTAAGGGGGGCACATAAAGAAACATAAGAAACTAAATTTAACGCATATAATATAAAATAAAATAAGTATGCGAAAATTGATAAAACCCAAGCAAACTTTTTAATAAGTAGATTAATATAAGAATAAAACGAAAAAAATAAAACTTCAAAACATTTCTCATACTTCAAAAAGACAACAACTCCAATAATTTCAGAATCGCATCCAAACAAAAACCCTCCATTCACTTCCAAAAGTTATTTAAAGAATTTATTATTTATTTTTAACGCTGCCATTGTCGGGGTCTCAAGTCCCGAATATAAAAAGTGGAAGGTTACGTTAGGTAGTCGATAGTCAACGTAAAATTTGTCAAAAAATTATGACATGAATTCTATAAATCCTTGTGCAAATGCTAGGGTGTCCCCTAGAAGCGCTACACTGTATGGTCTGGATACAGTGAAAATTGTGCAAGGGTAGCTCCACCGACGACCGGATGTGGTGTCCAGTAAGCAAGGATTCCCACATTATAAATGGATGCAGATAAAGAAGTTAGTCTATGAAACTAATATTAAGATATAATCTTGGAAATATTGATGAGTTTTTAAATTGTAAATAAAATGTCTTTAATTGTTTGCATTTTATATGATTATGTTACGCTTTAAAGAAGATTTTTGTGTTGTTTTACAGATTGCATCAAAAAAAGATCGAATGAAACTCAAAATGATCAAATCAGAGCCTAGGCGCCAGTCTCAGCCTAAATTGGTGTAATTTCCAGAAAGAGTGAAAAGTTGGCGCAAGGTAATTGGCGCCTAGGCGACAAATATGCAATACCTAGGCGTCGTCGGGTCAACAACGCTTAGGCGCCCAAATAGGCCAGAATTCATCCAAAATCCTGAGAGCATGAAAAGTAGGCGCTGCATAGGCAACGCCTAGGAGCCACACACCAACGCCTAAGCGACAGATGTTATGTTCTCCAAATTAAGTCACTTGACGCCTAGACACCAAAACTTGTAAATTGGCAGTTTAAGCAGTTCAAAACCTTGATCAGTAGCCAAGAGAAGTATAAAAAGGATGATTATGAAAAGCACGGGATTTTTTACTAGAATTTCTGCCATTCAAAAGGGAGGAAATTAGAGGAAGATCAATAAAAAATTTTAAAGCAAGTATTCAAGAGAGATTGTGAGATTATGAGATGTGAGAGAGCTTGTAATTCATCTGCATATTCAGAATCTTAACGAGATAAGTATATTGAGTTTTTATTTTTTTCTTTCAGAAACATTTGAGAAACTCTTGTGTATAATATTTGTTCTTAATATAATGTTTGTGTAGATGAAACCTGACATGCTTAGTGAGTAGATTTTCTATTCTCCTTTGTTGTGGAAGTGTAGGGATAATTGCTTGGCATTTTGATGTGATTCCTGTGTGAAGTTCTTAAACGATGTTGGATTAACATAGGAACTAATTGACTTTTAACTTGGCCAGTTAATTTGTTATTACTAATCGTGATCATAAAATTTCGGAAGAAATCTTTGAGGAACGATCAAGCTAACCACACAAAGGCATTAGAATAAAAATATCTCATTTGAATTCATGCAATCTGATTTGGGAGCGAGGATGTTTGGGATTTTTCATTAGATTTAGGGAACTAAACAAATTAATTGTTATTCTTTTTTAGACTACCGGAAGGAGATACGTTTTTTCTCTTGTTTGACACCTACTTTACAATCATTTACTAGGCTTGAATCCCTACATAACCACTTCAAAGGTGATTTTTGGGACAATTCTTGAATCAACATCTCTCACTTTTCGTCGGTTTAAAACTTAAGTTAAGTTCACTTTTAAAATTAGGATGGTAACTTTATTGAACTTTGAATCTTCAACATTTCAAGCTTGGACTGATAATTGCAAACTAGAACATTTCCTATTGAATTTCATCTCATTCTCTGTGGGATCGACACACATAATTCAACTCCGTATACTATTGATACGCCATGTATACTTACGTGAGCCAGCCATGCTTTACAGCACTTGATGGTGAATTTTAAAAAAAAGAAAAATTTAGTTGAACTTTTAGGTCTTAGACTTGAAAACCGTAGTGTTTATTATTTCTTGTATTTACATTGTTCTGTTTTTGTTTAAAAAATGCAAAAATATCCTTCTAGTCATTTGCTAATTTTGTGCACTTGTATCCTGTTGTCTTTTAATTTTCATAAAATACTTATGGCTTGCTTGTTGCTTGATTGTGTAGTTTAATTGTTATTAGTTTATTTTGTTGTGTGCTTTCAGTTGAATGTTTTGATATTCTCTTTAGCATAAGGTCACTTTGTTAGTGGAATGTAGTTGGTGTATGCGTAATTCAGGTTCTTCCAACCTTGAACCTTACAACCCTGAGTTAGAGAGAATCATCAAGAAAATCAAAAAAATTTAAAAAAGACTTCAACAGACACTAGGAGAGTCGATTTACTCAGAACTAACTTGATGCCCATGGACAAAAAAATATACCCAATAATCATGGATCTAATAATATGTCTAGGCCCTTAAGAGATTTTGCCAATCCTACATTAGATGAAATCCAACTAAGTATCAATATCCCTGCTATAGAAGTCAATTCATTTGAACTGAAATTTGTTATCATTTAGATGGTGTAAAAGAATCAGTTTGGAGGAACGCCTTCGAAAGACCCTAATCTTCATTTAACGAGCTTTTTAGAACTCTGACTACATTTCACTATAATGGTATCTCCAAAGACGCTTGAAGGCTAAGACTTTTCTCTTTCTCCTTGAAGGATAAAACCAAAATGTGGTTAAATTCTATAGCTTATGGATCTATTAGGACTTGAAATGACTTGACCCAAAAATTTTTAGCGAAATATTTTCCACCTTAAAAAACAACCAAA